GCTGTCTTGAAAAAAAAAAACCAAAAAACTATGTTATTAAAACATTTTAAATGCCATATTCTGTAGATCTCTGAAGTGTTTGAAGATAACCTGTCTATCTAAAATATCTGTTTGACATTGAAAACATACCTAATATGATTACAAGTTTAATTGTAATGACTAACTACTAACTTACACTTCTTTATATCCTAATTAGTTGGTAATAATAACTTTCAAGAACTAGTAATTTGTATTACATTGTTAAATGAGGTATAATATCTTGAACAAGATTAGAAGTGTATGTACAATATAGTCTAACAAAATTAATCTCAAATTTGTATCAATATATAAAATTTGTATACACTATACAACAATCCAATCCAATATAAAATATTTAAAAGTAGTAGTTGCATTTTAAAAGAAAATTCAATCATTAACTTTTTTAAAAAGATTTATTTATTTATTATGTATACAGCATGTATGACTGCAGGCCAGAAGAGGGCACCAGATCTCATTACAGATGGTTGTAAGCCACCATGTGGTTGCTGGGAATTGAACTCAGGACCTCTGGAGGAGCAGTCAGTGCTCTTAACCTCTGAGCCATCTCTCCAGCCCCCAATAATCTAACTTTTTATCTTACATCTATATTCCCATTTTTTCTCTTCAGGGTAGATTCAACAATCTACCCTTTTATCTATCCTATCATTTCTACATCTATTTTTTTTTTCAGAGTGGATTCAATAATCTACCTTTTATCTTATTATATCTATATCCCCTTTTTTTCTTTTCAAAACAAGTACCCTGAATCTAATCTCCTTTGTTTAGCTTTTTTCCTGACCATTACCAATAACAACTTGTAATCAACTACCCTAAACAATGACAAATATCCATAACCCATTGAACGACCAAAACCCAACCACCACACCTCTTGGGAATGTGGGCATCATGTTTTTAAATTTATTTCCTGTTGTCTGAGGGGGAAGGCATCTTTAGGGGATCCTGAAATGATTAAAAACTGGGTTAATTGTCAAGTCCTGGAAGAGGTGGCTGTTATCACTTATTGTACAGTCTCTGCATGCTGGGAAAGTGCAGGGCTTGTCTCAAGTCCTAGCTAGAGTAGTCTGTGAGGCTAGATCATCTCAGCTAGCTACCTCAAAATTGTCCTGAGCAATTTGTAGTCTAAAGCCGATCTTGGGGTGGTGTTTGTCAGCTTAGTGGTGTTATCATAAGTCCATGTGGAATCATCATTGTGGGGTCCTATCATCTTTTTGGAGACTTAAAAAGATTGCATTAGATCAGATTATTCCTTTTCTTGGTAAGTTTTTGGGGGTAGTTCTCCCTTATTCTTGGATGCTTATTTGTCCAAAGGTCTTTAAATTCCTCAAGATAATTGTTTTTCTTTTCCTGGAATGACAAAAACAAAACCCTGCCCCAACCCTAACTTTGGGGAGATTCCAAATATAATCTTTATCAATTTTGATTTATGGTTTCTCTTGAATGTTTTGTTCTCTCTTCTATAGCTAGTCTATCATCCAGAGCTGTATGTTTTCTTACACTAGGTATTAGGTTCTTTAATTGCTCTGGGAAGGAATTTCCTCCACAATAACAGGAAACAACTAAACCGAATTTGACATGGGGGCCCGCAAGAGGCCCCTCAAGACGTTTTTTCCTGATGGCAAAGACAAAGGATTACCTTGTCTGTTCCTTGTTGATCTGCATTCATTAGTCCAATGCCTGCCTTTGCTACACCTTCTGCATAATCCAGAAGGAAAGAGAATTTTGTTGGGATTATTCTTTTTTTGTTTTGTTTTTCTGAGACAAGGTTTCTGTGTAGTTTTGGTGCCTGTCCTGGATCTTACTCTGTAGACCATGCTGTCCTCCAACTCACAGAGATCTGCATGGCTCCTCACTATTTCTAACTAAGTCTCTTATCCCTCAATCCTCAAGAGTTCCTGGGGTAAATAACTGTGGGGGCTGGTCCCCCACAAGAGATTCAATTATTATTTGTCTAGCTTCTGAATTTGGTATCATTCTATTTAATGCTGAAATCAATCTTTGTAAGAAAGCAGTGAAGATTTCTTTGGGGCCCTATATAATTTTTGTAAATGACTCAATTTTTTTTCCTACTTCTTCAGTTCTGTCCCAAGAATTCAAGGCTGCTGTGTGGCAGAAAGCCAGGGTGTGGTCATCATATAAAGATTGCCTTTCTACATTAGTATAACCTCCCTCCACAAGAAGTTGATCTTGGGAGATTTCAATACCTCTAGCCCTACTTCATTGTTCAATGGTCTTAGCCTCATCCTTCCACCAGGTCCTCCACTGTAACTGAGGACCAGCCTCCAAGACTGCTGTAATCAAATTTCTCCAGTCTTGAGAGATAATTCTATTACCAGTTGACTACAAGTTTAACATTTGCTTCACAAAAGGTGAGTGCAGGCCATGACTATCGCTCCCTTGAATCTCTTCAAATCTAACATTTGCACAGGAGTCTATTCAGCTGTTACACAGTCTGGGGGATATGTATCTTTTGGCAGTTCCTATAAGGTTACTGGATAAATTATGGTTGGCTGTTTGAAAGCCTTAGACTGTTTCCCTGTAACTTTATAATACAATGCTGAGATTGGTTCTCCTTTGAATCCTCTGTCTGAGTCTGGACATCTCCACAGTCTATTTTAACAAGTTTTCCTAAAGCTTTTATCTTGGCACTCATATTAACCAACTTTTTTAATGATAAAACAGAAATGATCAAACAAATATTTATAATTGACATTACGTAAATCCCATCTACATTAATTATCCTCTCATTTAATTATTCCATTTTCAAACCATCTAGCATATTATCAAACAGAGACCAAACTCCCTCCATTGTAAAAATGTTTCTCATTTTTTAATGTGGGGGAAAAAACTCTTTTTTTTTTTTTAAACTAATTTCCGCCCTTTTAAGAAATCCCAATTGAGTCACCAAATCTGCTGACAATGATGATTCAGATGATGGTGAAGTGAGGCAGCTACCTAGGTGTGGCAGCAGCCCCGAGGAGGGGGTCCAGGGAAAGCCACAACACACCAGGAGCGGGAAGACGCCAAAGAACCAGCCATCTGCACTGGGGAATATGCAAAATCAGCTAACTCCTGTGCCTTTTGGAGCCCATGGAGTTTGCCGCAGATAAGCTGCAACAGAAACTTGGCTGGCAGGGTAGTGACTCTGAGCGCGTGCAGCTCCAGCCTGAGCTGTTAGCTGAAAAGCCACAGTCAGGCTTTTTCGTGAACTCATGCCCCAAAAGTTGGGTGGCAGCTATAGCAGGAATTCTAATTGGTCTTATTAATCAAAGTCCAGAGCCAGATATTAGGGTAAATGCTGAAAGATCAGAGGAAACAAGCCACAGCCAACTCCTCAGCTGAAAGGGGAAGACCCTGTCTCCATGAATCCTCAGACTGAATACCCCTGAGTCCTCAGCCGAAAGGGCTGAATTCCAGTCTCCTCCTACCTTATATTCCTTTCTCCACCCAGCCATATCACTTCCTGTCTCAACCTTCCTAGTGCTGGGATTAATGGCATGTTTGCTTCCCAAATACTGAGAGCAAAGGCATGAGATCCCAAGTGCTGGGATTAAAGGTGTGTGCCACCACTGCCTGACCTCTATGGCTTACTCTGTGGCTGGCTCTGCCCTCTGATCGATCATCAGACAAGCTTTACTGGTTACAGTACAAACAGAATATCACCACAGGTTGGAGAGAGGGCCCAGCAATTAAGAGCACTTGCTGCTCTTCCAGAGGACCTGAGTTTGATGCCCAACATCCATATGGCAAATCAAAACCATGTGTATCTCCTGCTCAAGAGGATCTGATACTCTCTTCTGGTCCCTCAGGACACTACACACAGGTGGCACATAGACATACATGCAGACAGAATTCCCATACACATAAACTAAGAAAATAATTTTTTTTTTGATTTATTAATTTATTATGTATACAGTATTCTGTCTGCATGTGTCCCTGCAGGCCAGAAGAGGGCACCAGATCTCATTACAAGTGGTTGTGAGCCACCATGTGGTTGCTGGGAATTGAACTCAGGACCTCTGGAAGAGCAGTCGGTGCTCTTAACCACTGAGCCATCTCTCCAGCCCAAGAAAATAATTTTTTTTTTTTTTTTGGTTTTTCGAGACAGGGTTTCTCTGCGTAGCTTTGCGCCTTTCCTGGAGCTCACTTGGTAGCCCAGGCTGGCCTCGAACTCACAGCGATCCGCCTGGCTCTGCCTCCCGAGTGCTGGGATTAAAGGCGTGCACCACCACCGCCCAGCAAGAAAATAATTTTTGAAAATGAAAGTAGAATTTGAATCACAGAATTCCTCATAAGAGTTATAGCAAAAACTACTTTTTGGCTAGGTATGGCAGTACTCACCTTTAATCCCAGGACTAGGGAGGCTGAGGCAGGAGGATCTCTATGAATTCAAGGCCAGCCTGGTGTACAAAGCAAGTTTCAGGATAGCCAGGGCTACGTACAGAGACCCTATCTCAAAAGAAATAAAGGCTTTGGTGATTTTGTTTGTTTGCTTTCGTGCTTGCTTTCAAAGATGACTCAATTTCAGAGACACTGAGAAGCCTATGCAAACACACAGGCTGGCTGCTAGGGAGGAGGAAGTATGGAGAGTCTGGGGTGAGCCTCGATGAGCAGAGTGACAGTGTGGCCCTCTAGATCTGGGCTGCTAAGGAAGAGGAAGTATGGAGAGTCTGGGGTGAACCTCAATAAGCAGAGTGACAGTGTGGCCCTCTAGATCTGGTGCCCACCACAGTATCCCACTCTCCTCTACAATCTCATCAACATAGCCTCAGGCCAACATCCTGATCCACTCTACTCATCAGAAGAGGAGAAATCATTTCTTTCCAAGTTCACCTGAGCTTGCAGTCAACAGTGTAGCTATAAATGTCAGATTTCAGAGGCAGAGGTCCCAGGAAGCAGTTAGGTAACAAGAAGGGAAACATACGGCTGAGCTGATCCCATGGGGGTGAAGAAAACACATCAGGGAGAGTGACCCACTTTATTTGAAATTAGCTGGGGAGCAGCAATGGCTGGACAGTGAGGCGCCCCAGTAAAGAGGGCACATACCGGAGGGGATGAGAAGACTGCCTTGATGGATTCATCTCATTCTTCTCACAAGTCCTTACAGCTCACTCTGGAAGATCTTGGGGCCTTGAAAGAACAGATCCTCTTGCCCAAGACTCTGGGCATGGGACTGAGAGCTGCTGGGTTCCGGGTTAGAAAAGGAGTTCTGGAGTTCTAAGAGGAAGGAAAATGAAAAACAAACCATTAGCCAGACTGTGATATGCATAAAACTAGGCCCTGGACCTTCCTGGAAAGGACACACAGGCCTGGTTTGTATGTACCCATTCTATGGTGGTTTCTAACTATCTACCTGTTTCTGTCCCCCAGCTGCAATGAAGCAAGTTAATGAAGAATGTAGTGGGACATGTCTGTATTCCTAGCACTCAAGAACTTGAGGCAGGAAGATTTTGAGTTCAGGAGCAGGCTGGGCTCCATGGCAAGCCTGAGCTACAAAGGAAAACCTGGCCTTTAAATAAATATTAAATAATAATTACTTTGGCTTCTTTTCAAATCATATAAATATTTTGCCTTTCACTAAATAAATATTAAATAATAAAGTAGCTTAACTCTCTCTGATATACAACATGGATGGATGGACTCACACAGAAAAGGACAAACGATTAGCCAGCTGCATTCAGACACCATTCAGATTCGGCCTCTCCCAGACCTGTCCTTACCCCTGTCTAGTTTCTTTAAAAGTTCCCAGCTACGGTCACAGTCTGGAAGACTGACTTCAGAGCTAGATGAAGAAAGAGACATGGCGAAGATGTTGGCCATAGGCAGCTTAGATTGCCAGGCATGAACAGACGTCCTAAAAAGAACAATCAGAGGCAGAGATGGTGATGGATCTAGGACCCTCTTCCAGCATGAAACTGTCTTCTTTTCTGAGGTCAGGATTCTGGACTGCCACCTCACTCCCCAATTATCATTCAGACATATAAAGATATATCCCAACTCTGAATCAAATGACAAGTGCCTAACATTGGGGCCGGCAGGATGGCTCAGCTGATAAACATGCCTGCCATCAAGGCTAAGGTTGATCCTGAGAACCCATATGGCAGAAGTGTACTTCATGGTACATACATGCCCACACATATGTAGACTAAATAAATAAATAAAATGCAAAAAATTTTTTTTTAGTGATGTAGGTGAGCATAACAGTACACACCTGTTATTCTGTACTCAGGAAGCAAAGACAGCAGGTTGGTGAGTTTGAGGCCAATCTGAGCTACCCAATGGAAATCATCTCAATAAAATAAATAATAAACAAACAAACAA